CCCCCACCCTGGGGCGAGACCACCTGGATCTACCACGACGGCGAGGACACCAAGATGATTGTGGGCGAGGAGAAGAAGTTCTTGCTGCCCTTCTGGCTGCAGGTCATCTTCATCTCGCTCCTCCTCTGCCTCTCAGGCATGTTCAGCGGCCTCAACCTGGGCCTCATGGCCCTGGACCCCATGGAGCTGCGCATTGTGCAGAACTGTGGCACAGACAAAGAGAAGAACTATGCCAAGCGCATCGAGCCAGTGCGGCGCCAGGGCAACTACCTGCTCTGCTCCCTCCTGCTGGGCAACGTCCTGGTCAACACCACGCTTACCATCCTGTTGGACGACAACGCTGGCTCCGGGCTGGTGGCCGTGGTGGTCTCCACCATCGGTATCGTCATCTTCGGCGAGATCGTGCCGCAGGCCATTTGCTCTCGGCACGGCCTGGCCGTGGGCGCCAACACCATCTTCCTCACCAAGTTTTTCATGATGATGACCTTCCCGGCCTCCTACCCTGTCAGCAAATTGCTGGACTGTGTCCTGGGCCAGGAGATCGGCACGGTCTATAACCGTGAGAAGTTGTTGGAGATGCTGCGGGTCACCGACCCTTATAATGATCTAGTCAAGGAGGAGCTCAACATTATCCAAGGAGCCCTGGAGCTGCGCACCAAGACGGTGGAGGACGTGATGACTCCCCTCCGAGACTGCTTCATGATCGCTGCGGAGGCTGTGCTCGACTTCAACACTATGTCTGAGATCATGGAGAGCGGTTATACCCGCATCCCCGTTTTCGAGGGTGACCGCTCCAACATCGTGGACCTGCTCTTTGTTAAGGACCTGGCTTTTGTGGACCCCGATGACTGCACTCCGCTCAAGACCATCACCCGCTTCTACAACCATCCGCTGCACTTTGTCTTCAACGACACCAAGCTTGATGCCATGCTGGAGGAGTTCAAGAAAGGTGGGCTCGTGTCTGTGGCGGGGGCGTAGGCGTGCTGCTTGGTGGCGGTGAGCATCTACCTTCCTACGGCGAGCTGGCCGGGAAGGCAAGGGAGCTCTGCAGAGCGGTCCTCTCGGGTTTCTGCTCGCGGAGGGGTTTGGGAGGGTGCATTCAGGACAGAGAGTGGCCTGTGTTTAGGCATCTGCCAGATCTGCCCGTTCTCTGGGCCAGAAAGCTGATACGCAGCTGGTATGTGCCCCCGACCTCTTTTCCCCACTGCACTGGGATGTGTGTGTGGGCATGGTGCCAAGCAAGGTTGTTTTCTTTCTTGCTTTTTCCACTCATCTGTCCATTATAGTGAGAACCGCTGACGGGAATCCGCGCCTGTTACTTGGCTGTGTCTTCTCCGTGCTTTTTCAGCTGGCCTGACAGTGAGGAGTGGGTGGGCTGCTTGGGTAGGTCACCCGTATCTTTCAGGCTTAGTGCGCACACACGTGCTGAGATAAACAAGGCGTTTGAGCTCCATTCATAGGCTCAGCCGGCCAACTTCAGCTCTGTGCTCATGTTCCAGTTATTTTGATTGACGCTTTGATCTTGTAACTCATAAATAGTTTCAGGGTCTTAAAATATATTCGAAAGCACCTGTTGGTGCTGCACTTCAGAGTTACAGGTCTCTTTTCCTAGGCTTCCCCCTGCCCCCAGGACCACAGGCTCAGCAAAGACGTGATGCTTTCTACCTCTCCCGTGTAGCATGTGTATTAGTTGCATCAGAAAGGGGCTGAGGCTTTCCGGCCCCGTCTTAATTCTAGGAGGTGTTGACCTGACAAATGCATCTTAATTCCTGTTAGAAGCTTTTGCTTATGAGAAAGGAAGAAACTTCTTTTGTTTTCCTCTTTAAATCTGTTCCTCTCTGCAAGCCAAATAATAATGCTACATGGCCTGTGCAGGAAGGTGCTTTCAAAGAAATTGTTAAGTGAAATTTCAAACAGATTGGGTGTGTGGACTCCCGTGCTGGAAAACTGAAGGCTGTTGGAGTGCCATGGAGCTGTTCATGCCCGTGGAGATCTGATCAAAGTACCCCGGGCAGCTCAGTCCCTGGGAGATGATCTGGCTGAAAGAGGAGATCTTTACAGCTGCACTGACCCCACAGTTAGGCTAATGGGGGATATTTGAGTTCACCTTTTATAAACTGCAAAAGTTACCTTGAAAAGAACTTTGTAAATTAGTGAATGATCTTTCTAGGTAATAAATTTAAATTACCACTTAAATTTCAGGTGCTGTTTTGTCCACACGCTGAGCTTTGACAGCATGGCACTTGATCTCTTTCTTCTGGCTTAACTCAATTTTGGGGATTTGAAGGGTTACCCCACTGGTTTCCTCATCTTTAGTTCACCTTCACGGATAGAAGGTGAACATGCTCCGGCTTTTTACTGGCCAGTGCAGCAGTGGTTTTCTTTATCTCTTTTTGCCTCTGTGTAGTGATGGGGAAATCTTACTTGGGTTCGGAGCTGTTGAAGGAGAGGTGAGGGAGAACCTCCCTTGGCTGTGGTTTCTGCGCTTCAGGATCTGCAGCTCAGATCTGGGAAACTCAATTATGTCAGTTAACTGTTGGCTGGTTAAGATGGATTTCGCTGCATGTGCAGGTGTAGGGTTCTTCTTCCCCCCCGCCCCTCCCCGCCCCCTGTTATTCAGACTTCAGATAGCATGATGGGGTTCTTACCCTGTAGTGAGACTTGTGTTTTTTCTAGTTTTGTTTGTAGCAAGGTGTCTGAAAAAATGAGTATTTTGCTGGTTGCTTTGTTTCCCTTGTCTGAAAGAGATGAAATGCACTCCTGTGTGTTAACATAGGAGTCCTTTTATTTAATAGCTTGGAGAATTAGGTGCGCATTTTAATCCTGCATGTGTGGCTAAGCCAAATATGCCTCCTTACAGTTCCTGAAACTTGTGCTTAAAATAGGCTTCTTAAAGTTCTCCTGTGTGGCTTGGAAGGTGGAGACCAGAGATCGCTTTCTCTGGTAGCCAGAGGACTTCCCTTACCTGTACTAGGAAATGTCCCAGTACTACAAATCTAGGATGACTTCTTAACATGTGTGTTCCTCCTGAGATCACTGTGTCCTGGAAGAGTCTCTGTAGTTGTGAATTAATTCAGGGTAGTTTGATCATACTTAAATGTTTACTCCGGAATAGCTATGCTGGTTGGTCTGTATTGACAAGCCCTGGTGTTAGGACCAGCTCTGTCCTAACTGGTTTCTCTTTAAAAGTGCAGATATGGTGGAAATAAATGGCTTCCTTTGTGTCCTTTGAAATGAATGTAAATAACTGATAGCTTGCTTGATCTGGCATAGCGCGGTGTCTTTTGCAAGAGTTCTTCAAACTTTCTTCTTCAGAGCAACCTTGCCAAATTCCCGTGAGAATGTACAAATTAAGGGTGAGAATCAAATTGCATGTCACTCTCTGGTAGAGGTTGAAAAGAAATAAGCTTACTGTTTTTAATCATTCCCCTCCCACCACGTTGACCTTCTGCTGCAGTAGACTTGCTTCAAAACTCACGTGTATGTCTTTCTCCACCCAGGGCCCTGCTACCGCTGTTCGGTGCAACGAGCAGCTTGTGCGATAGTGCTGTCAGTTGAATACTTTTATCTGTTTAAGGAGAGAGGCTTGTTTTTATTTTTTTTAATTTTTTTTTAAAGAAGTTTGGTAATTAGCTGGGTAGGTGGCGTTTTGAAGCTCACTTTTTGGGCAGGAGCAAAACATTCTTAAGCTAAACACAGAATGAAGGCTTAGGAGGAGGAGATCAAAACCCAAGCATGGCAGGATATATGTCCTTACGCTGTTGCAGAAGATGAAGTGGGTAGTTCTGTACTTGTTCTGGTGCTTAGGCTGAACAGCTGGAGGATTTGGTGGTGAGCCTATTATTAATGTTCTTTGCCCACAATTGCAAAATAAGTATCTGTTTCACTTCTCTGCTGCCAGGCAAGAAACTTAATTTTAAGAGAGAGCTGCAGCACATTCCCGCTCCCTTGTTGCTCTAATCTCTTAAAGTGTGAATAAACATGATTTCTGAAGCAGTCTGCAAAAAAGCTTCTCTTCTAAAAAGCATTGTTTACTTACAAATAAATAAATAGCTTTTGAAAGACGGGCAATTTTCTATTCCCATCGACAGACCTTAAACCTCTACCAGCACTGTCAAATCTATTTGCCTACAAGTTGAGCAGACTGAGCGTTTAACTTACTCGAATTCAATCACTCAAATTTAATGCAAGGAAGTATAAGGTACCCTTTATACTGGCCTAGGAAATGACCTGCCTGACTCTGTTCAGCACAAAGAGATATCTCATTTGAAATAAGTCCACTCCTAGCTAATCTGACGTTGGCCATTGCTGTAAAAGGGAGCAAGGCGTTACCTGTTCCAGGACTGATTTGTGTCCTGGCTCCTACGCTGCGGCAGGGAGCGAATGAGCGACAAAAGTCATTTTTGGAAAGAAGCTAGTGAACTGTCTCTACTGGTCTCCTTTTTCTTGTTGACAAGTGTGTGGGCTTGCTCCCCCCCCCCCCCTTTTCAACCCCCCCCCCCCCCCCCCCTTTGACAGTTTTTCTAGGTCTCTGTTCAAATGTTCTCTGGCTTTTGCTCTTGGTGTTTTTCACAGGCAGATCTCTGCATGTGTGATCCTAAATCCAAAGCGTTCTATTTCTAGCTCCCTGCCTGCCAGAGCTACAGGAATTCAGCTTGAAAAGCCTCATGTTGTAATACTAGTATTTTAAGATTGGCCCACTTTCTACAGGCCATTGTACGTCTGCTTTCCTGGTGGCCTGCATGGCTTCAGAGGGCAGCAGTTTCTCAATCGGAGTCATCCTTATCTGGGAACTTTGAGTCATATGTTTGGATCTCATTTATATCTGTCTCCACTATTATGTTATACTAAAGATCAGTGTTAATAACCTGTTACAAAGAAGTCACAGTAACTGTGTGCAGAAGTTCTGAGCTCTTGTTTTCTGAATCACATGGCAGCCTGGAGAAAATTCCTAGATTCTTTGTTAAAATCATTGCCAACTGGACCTTAAAAGACTTTTCTTTCCAAAAAACCTTGTCAGATTTAACTTGATGATCTTCTCTTCATGCTCTGTTGATCTTGTATTGTCTGTTTTTAATAGTGTGTATGTTTGGTGGCTATATTTAGTGTGGACATAGGACCTGGAGGAAAAACTTTGTCCATTTCTTTACTAGTTCCTCTTCCCCCTCCAAAGAAAACTAAGCCCCAGCAACCTGAACCCTAAACCCTTTACTTTTGAGGGAGCAGAGAAGAATACCTAGACCTACTTACTCTTTTGAGCCCATAGGTCCTCTTTTTGGAAGCAGATAGGACAGCAAGCGATTGGTAGCCCAGGGATCCAAAGTTCTGCATTACTGTTGTTGGTCTGAGGGTTTTTTTTCTGTTATTAGGTCACTTACCTTTCTGGTACAGCTCTAACCCAGGCTTGTTGGTGGCTTCTTTCCCGGTCCCTTTCAGGTTTTATGGGTTCCCATCCTGGTGAATCTGAGTCCAGACTTCCCATGAATAACCTTTATTTAATGGATCTGAATGCTCACTTTCTAGTTTATCTAACAGGTTGTCTGTCTCCTGAGCCATTTTTCTGTGTAAGCCTGTGACTGCAGCATTACGAGAAACTGGAAGAAACTACATAAATCCCTTCTGGGATTATCAAAGGCACGTAAAACTTCTTCTTGGAAAACAATATCGTTTTCAAGGCTGCTTGGCTAATAAAAGGCGCTTCCTCTGATCCTTTCGGGGAAATTAATATAAAGGGAAAGGTGTTGAGGAGGTCCAGCACGGAGACTTTTTTGTGTGAAGAGAGTAGGGGAGTGGTAGGTGGGAGGGAATTTGCCACCAAGATACAGAAGACTTAGCATGATATGCCTGCAGATTTGTTCCCTGAACAAAAATTGCATGTGGGGGTGGGGGTTGCCTCGTGACAAACTGTTTCTTGGCTGTCTGACAGTGTAGCACCCGCAGGTACTGCGCTGCCAAAAGCTTTGCTGGCCTGGCAGAGC